AGATAATAATCCCAAGAATAGTAGTTGTATTAACCGATGGGAATGGGACTCTTGTCCCCCTAAAACAGAGTCCCTCTGCTATACTTGGTCTAATGTCCTATGGAACACCAAAGGTCTAGGCTGAACTGCTCCCACAAGTCTTTGTCAGTTCTTAAAACCATATATCCGTTTTACCAAAGAGGCTGCTCCTACTAATTGTCAACATAACCAGTGTAATCCTGTACAGCTTACTATCACTATTGCAACATCCCCAAACTCTTCCCCATCATTAAGTTGTATTTATGGTATGGGAGCCAACATCTCAGGAACAGATCCTAGAGGATTTTTTGAAACACACTTTGTTGCTGCTTCAACCTCTCTATCCCATCCTCCTAAAACAATCACCCATCTCATACCCAATGACAAAACCAAAGTAGCGTAGTAGAAGTAAAAGACCTAAGGCAAACTTTAGCAATTGAGACAGGGTACCAAGATGCAAATGCCTGGTTGGAATGGATTAAATATTCCATCCACGTTCTAAATAAAAGCTATTGTTACGCTTGTGTGCATGGTAGACCAGAGGCCCAAACTGTCCCCTTTCCACTTGGATGGTCTTCTAATTGACCAGACATGGACTGCATGGTCCATGCAGTCCCCACGGCCTGGGGTAATAAATCGTGCCAAACACTCTCTCTGCTATTCCCTGAGGTCCAGCACCCTGCAGGTCAGCCCCTGAGGGCCATCCAGCCTTCATCTTCCAGGGCCAATTTTGCCTCCTGTCTCTCACGACAGGGGGAAAACTTGGTGTTCCTTGGAAACCTAACAGGATGCAGTGAGCTCAGGCACTTCCAAGAGCTAACCCATCAATCCGCCCCTATCCATCCTCGAACAGATGTATGGTGGTATTGTGGTGGACCTTTATTGGACACTCTGTCAAGTATCTGGAGTGCTACTTGCGCTGTAATTCAATTGACTGTCCCTTTCACCCTGACATTTCATACACCGTAGGAAATAACAACCAAACACTGGAGCACAAGAAATGTCCCTTGTAAGTCCTTTGACCCTAATGTTTATATAGATGCGATTGGAGTCCCACAAGGAGTACCAGATGAATTTAAAGCCCAAAATCAAATAGCCGCAGGATTTGAGTCATTATTTGGGTGGGTGACTATCAGTAAAAATGTAGACTGGATAAATTATATTTACTACAACCAGCAACAGTTTGTTAATTATATAGGAGATGCTATTAAAGGAATAGCTGAGCAATTAGGACCCGCCAGTCAAATGGCTTGGGAAAATAGAATAGCATTAGACATGATACTAGCAGAAAAGGGTGGAGTTTGTATTATGATTGGAACCCCATGTTGTATCTTTATCCACAATAATACTGCCCCTGATGGAACTATAACAAGGCCTTACTGCTTTATCAAGTGAATTAACTAAAAATTCTGGGATAAATGATCCTTTCACTAACTTAATGAAGAGATAGTTTGGCAAATGGAAGGGACTCATGTCCTCAGTCTTCACCTCACCTGCCCTTATAGTAAGTGTGCTTATCCTTGTAGGATGTCGTATCATACCTTGTATTCATGGATTACTGCAAAAGCTTTTAGAAAAAGCTCTTACCAAAATCCTTTTCAACTTTCCTCCTCCTTATTTGGATAAGTTGCTCCTTCTAACTGACCAAGAAGAGCAATTGAGTCAAGACATTTTAAAAAGATTTGAAGAGGAAGAATGTAAAATCAAGAGGGGAAAATTTTTAAGAATAAAAGTTCCTCTTCAAAGTTTACCTTCTTGTTAAGAATAATAAGTTTTAAGAAGGATAGTTCCTCTTAAAAGCTTCTTTCAGGTTTCCTTTATGTTTCATAGTGACAAATCTTTTACTCTACTAATCACTCTTTGTTGTCCCCTGGGTGGTTGTTAAATACAGTAAAAGAATAAGCATATCCTATGTCCTTGTAATATTAATTGAAGGCCTAACCCATTTGTTCCCTGATCTGCCTGGACATGCCCAGACATGTCCAGGCACGTCCTAGCTTGCTGCCTATGCTTGTTTCCTTATTTGGAAATGTTACTGTCCTCCTAGTTTCCCGCAAGCAACCCCCTCCCTTTCTTTGTTGCCCATTGCACCTTTACCTATTTAGGAAAGTTTAAGTTTTTAGCCAATTGGGATCAGTCTAGGTTATGCAGTCCAGCTGCAGCCAATGGAGATAGGACATAGCAGTAGGGACCCAATCTGTCAGGGATAAGAACCCCTGCTTTCCTTTGTTCAGGGTGCTCTCATGGCGATCAAGCTTACAGGTAGCACCCTTCTACAGAAGTAAATTCACGTTACTGATCAATCTTTTCTTCAAGTGCTCATTTTCTTTGCGACTCCAAGTTTTCATTTCCAACAGATTGCTTATAAGTTGAGGGAGGAAATAGTAGCTTTTTAGTGGAGATACCAAATATCTTTCTAGGGTGATCAAACATCACCAATGAGCAGCAAGATATGGCATACTTTTAAATGTGATGCCTTGTAGTTGCATAACATGACTGACTTCTGTTGCATTCCACAATAGGTGATGCATAATCTGAGTCTGAACAAGAGGGTAAATTAGAAAAAACCCAACTTGAGGACTATTCAGTGAAATAATTGGCCAGTTTTCTTCAAAATGTTAAGGCATGAAAGAGTTAAGGAACTGTTCCCTATTAAAGGAAAATAGAAACAAAAGGTGATACTTGAATCTGGACTAGAACATGTACTAGAGGAGTATATGTGCTGTAAAGGGCATTATTAGGAAGATTGGCAAAACTGGAGTATGGGCTTTATATTATATACATGCATTACAGTAGGGTTAAATTCCCTAAATTTGATAACTGCACTGTACTTATGTAAGAAAATATCCTTGTTCCTAGGAAATACACACTAAATATTAAAGTACACTGGCCATAGGTTGTATAGTCTTTTTGCAAATTCTTTAGAGAGAGAAGAGCCAAATGTGGTATATTATTAAAAGTTGGGGACTATAGACAAAAGGTATGCTGGATTTCTGTGGTTCATTCTTGCATTTTTCTTGTATATTTTAAATTATTGTTAAATAAAAAGTTAAAATGTAGCATAAGAACTGTATATTCTGTATCTCCAGTTTTCAGAAGGCCTAACCCATTTGTTCTCTGATCTGCCTGGACATGCCCAGACATGTCCAGGCATGCTCAGGCACCTCCTAGCTTGCTGCCTATGCCTCTTTCCTTATTTGGAAATGTTTCTGTCCTCCTAGTTTCCCGCAAGCAACCCCAGTGAATCCTGCACAATGAAACTTATATTCCACCATTTCATTTTCCTATTTCCACAATCTTCAACCTCTCATCAGCACTTTGTATAACAAATGTATTTCTTCAGCTTCCATGTTATGTCACTGTCTTTTTCTTTTGCTTCGGCAGACACCCCATCTGTTTACTCCAATGCTCTATCATCTTTCTTTGTCCGAACTCTGAAATGCCCCACAATTAAATATCTTGCTTTCCTAAATATTTTGGAGTAATTTTATACTTGCTAGTGGAACCTGTATCATTAACATTGCTGCATAAAACAGATGCGCACTCTAAAGGAGTAGCTGCGAAGAGTTTAATACAGTAACTGACTACTTACAATGGGCATGTATGCACAGGTTAAAGGAAACAAAAGGTAGGGAGCACTCCAGACCTGGCCCTAGAAGAAAGCATTACCATTTCTATCTCAGGAGAGGCAAGAGAATGAGTGGAGTTAGAGAAAGCAAGAGAGTGCTAAAGGACCACTCCTCAGTATTTTTGGCTTTTTTGTTTTTTGAGGGAAGGTCTCACTCTGTCACCCATGCTGGAGTGCAGTGGCACATGCATAGTTCACTGCAGCCTCAACCACAAAAAGCATTTAAGAAAATCTATACCCATTCATGATTTAAAATTTAAAAACCAACTCTCAGCAATGTGGGAATAGAGGAAATTTCCTCAACCGTACAAAGAACATCTACAAAAACCTGTAGCTAATATTGTGTGTAATAGTGACAGACTCGATGCTTTTCCCATGAAATCAGGAACAAGACCAAGACATTCGCTGGAACCATTTCTATTCAACAAGGTACTGGAATTGTTTGCCAGTGAAATAAGGTGAGAAAAGGAGTTAAAAAGCATATACATTGGAAGCGAAAAAATGAAACTGTCCATACTTACAGAACATGAGCCTATGTAGAAAATCTAAGAGTCTAAAAGCAGGCAGGGTGTGGAGGCTCATGCCTGTAATCCCAGCACTTTGGGAGACAGAGGCAAGGGGGTCATGAGGTCAGGAGATCAAGACCATCCTGGCCAACATGGTGAAACCCCGTCTTTACTAAAAAAGAAAAAAAAAATTAGGTGGGCATGCTGGCACGCGCCTATAGTCGCAGCTACTCGGGAGGCTGATGCAGGACAATCGCTTGAACCCGGGAGGCGGAGGTTGCAGTGAGTCTTGATCGCACCACTGTACTCCAGCCTGGTGGGGAAGGAGACTCTGTCTCAAAAAAAAAAAAAAAAAAAAAAAAGAAGTTTGAAAGCAAACTTCCAGAACTCATGAGTTTAGCAAGGTCTCAAGATAGAAGGGCGCAAAGCCTCAGAGGGAAAAAGTTTCAGGGTCTTGGAACAGGAGAATTTCCTGCAGTAAGCTCTCAGGTCTGCTGCCTGGTCACTCGGTTTCCTGTAGGCCCAGCCTGTGAGTCACCTGCTGTGCACAACCCCTGGCCGATCCTCCCCTCCAATCTCTGCATAAAACGCACCACTTTTTAAATTTTATTTTGCTCTGCAACCAGCAAATCTAGGTGACCCAAGGTTTCCTGCCAGTCCTGGCACCAGCAACCAGACACCCCACCCCTGAGTCTCATCCTTACTCAACATCATCAGCAGGAACCCAGGTAACAGAATTTTCACATTGGTGTACAATTTTATTGAGAAGGGGAAAGAAAAAGGCACAAAGTGATCTCAAGGCAAAACTTCTTCCTTCGCATTTGAGAGAACTCAGGTGTTACTGTAACCTTTTTTTTTTTTTTTTTTTTAACAAGAGGATCATCCAATGGGAGGTCTCAGAGGAAGTCTCAGGGCTCAGGACTCCAAAAGCAGGTGGTGTACCCAGTCTTAGGGCGTCTGCCCCCAGCACATGCAATCTGTAGCCAGCATTCTTGGAACTTTGGTTGGTGGCTTCGGGGAACACTAGTAGGCTGACACGCTGAAAGGCCTCCTCGGACGGACGTCTCCGGCTCCAGTGGTATGTCCTCTGAGCTAGGGCCGAGTTGCGAGGGAGACTGCGGGGGCGGGAGTCCGTTGGGACCCTGTGCAGCCTCTTGGTCTCCTGAGGGCTCCTATGGCTCCTCCTGGGATTCGGGCTCGGAATCCAGAGCAGGCGATCCTGCGCCTCAGGGTCTCAAGGTGCTCTGCACGTCTCAAGGTGCTCTGAGGCTTGGAAAGACACCTTTTCGCCGGCAGTTTCAGCGAAGAAGCACGCGGGAAGCGAAAGTAGGTCCCAGTGGAACTGTAGGCCGTCCCAGGAGGGCTCGCAATGGTAAGGGGACAAGAAGGGAGCATCCAGGACACCGAATGTACTGAGCTGGGGGCTGGAGGTATCTGGCCCCGCTGCCTTCTTTGCGGAATCCCAGGCCTACCAAACTCGGAGGGGAGACAGTAGCTCCATTGCGGTCTTCTTTCAGCAGCTGACAACGGGTATCTGGGACTCGGAAGTCAACATCTCGTTTTTATACTCTTCTGGCCTCATGGGCGGTCCAAATCAGATTGTAAGGGAGGTGGGTGGGAACCTTAATTTTAGGAGCAAATTACATCAGGACATGGAATTAATAAGATTAACGCAAAGTCCTATCATCTGTGATGAAGTTATCTAGTTAAATAGTTTGCTTTAGGGATTGAAAAGAAAAAATACTACCTTTCTTGTGGAGAGAAAGGTTTTTGGGGAGACCCTGGTTAGAAAGTTCCTTACTGCCCCCAAATGCATTGCTGGTACTGGAGCACACTGGGTCCCTTTCTGCCCCAGAGTAATGCTTGTTAGATGCCTAAAGGATCACGATGTTACTGAGGAGCAGGCCAGGGTGGTTGCCAAATTTTTTAATCAAAACATCATTTTTTGTGTATTTTATTATATTATTATTCTGTATTATGTTGACTCATGTTGCATTTTAATTTTAGATTCGGGGGTACATGTGTAGGTTTGTTAAAAGAATATATTGCGTGATTCTGAGGCTTCTATTGATCCCATCACCCAGAGAGTGAACTACTAAGTCCCCAGGAGGAAGTTTTTCAGCCTCTACCCCCTTATCTTCTCCCCTCTCTCCTTTTGGAGTCCCCAGTGGGCTATTATTCTCATCTTTATGTCCCTTTGTACCAGTTTTAGCTCCCACTTATAAGTGACAACATGCAATATTTGTTTCTGCATTAATTTGCTTAGGACAATGGCATCCTTACAGAATAGTTTCAAGTTGGGTAATGTGATGCCTCAGGCTTCCCCCCCCCCCCCTTAGGATTTTTTTCCTTTTTTTTTTCCTTTTTTTTTTTTTTTTTTTTTAATGAGACATTGTTTTTCTCTGGAGCTCTGGTGGGAATGCAGTGTCATGCTCTTGGCAGCCTGGACCTCCCAGGCTCAAATGATCATCCCTGGTCAGCCTCCAGAGTAGCTGGGAACAAGAATGTGCCAACATACCTGGCTAATTTTTTTTTTTTTTTTTTTGCATTTTTTTGCAAAGATGGGGTTTCACCATGTTGCCCAGGCTGGTCATTGCCCAATTCTCCACGCCCCCGCTCACCCGCCCCTGGAGATGGGGTCTTGCTCTGTCTCCTAGGCTGGAATGCAGTGGCACAATCTCGGCTCACTGCAACCCCCACCTCCTGGGCTCAAGTGATTCTCCTGACTCAGCCTTTCAAGTAGCTGGGATTACAGGTCCCCACCACCATGCCTGGCTAATTTTTGTATTTTTAGTAGAGACAGGGTTTCACCATGTTGGCCAGGCTGGTCTGGAACTCCTGACCTCAAATGGCCTGCCCGCCTCGGCCTCCCAAAGTGCTAGGATTAAAGGCAGGAGCCATCACGCCTGGCCTCATTGCCTAATTCTTAATGTGGTCTTTCACTCTCCCAGTTTTGTCTTCTGCTGTTGAATTGCTGAATTTAAAGTATTGCAGAATTTGGGTGTATGTGTACAATAACATACAAGGGAGCTGACAGGGCACATAATCACCTGGGCTCAGGATTGGTGGCCTCTGGTGTCCTGGTGCCTGGTCTGTAGAATCCCAGGCCTGTTGCACCCCAGAGGAAAGTCCTGCTCCTGCTGCACCCCAGGGGGAAAGTGCTGCTTCATTGCATCCATCTCACAATTGGTGACAGAGTATCAGGAACTCAGAAATCTCCAGTGTTTGCATTTGTATACCCTTCTGCTCTCGTGGGTGGTTCTAAGCAGATAACAAGAAACTGGGTGATGACTTTAGTCTTAGGAGCAAATTTTCTCAGAAGATGGAATTAATGATGTTAACAAAAAATTTTATCAGCTGGGATGAAATTATCTAGATTAGTGACAGTTTGGTTTAGGAAATGAAAGGAAAAAGTACTACTATGCCTGTGGAGGAAAAGCTGTTTTTATGGTACCTGGCTTTCTTATAGAAAGTTCATTGCTGCACCAAATCACATTGCTGGTCCTAGAGCAGACTGAAACCTTATGTATCAGCAAAGAAAAACTTGGGAGGGAATGTGCAAAGGATGATTTGGGATGTTATTGAGGAGCAGGGTAAGCATAGTTGCCCAATTGTTAGTATGGTCTTTCCCAGTTTTGTCGTCTACTGCTGAATTGTTATATTAAGAAGATTTCGACCAAGTGCAGTGGCTCACAGCTGTAATCTCAACACTTTTGGAGGCCAAGGCAGGCAGATCTCTTGAGCCCAGGAATAGGAGACCAGCCTGGGCACATTGGCAAAATCCTATCTCTACGAAAAATACCGGCCGGGGGCGGTGGCTCACGCCTCTAATCCTAGCACTTTGGGAGGCCGAGGTGGCTGGATCATGAGGTCAGGAGATCAAGACCATCCTGGCTAACACAGTGAAACCCTGTCTCTACTAAAAACACGAAAAGAAAAAAAAAAAATAGCCGGGCGTGGTGGCAGGCTCCTGTAGTCCCAGCTCCTTAGGAGGCTGAGCGAGGAGAATGGGGTGAACCCGGCAGGCGGAGCTTGCAGTGAGCCAAGATTGCGGCCACTGCACTCCAGCCTGAGTGACAGAGCCAAACTCTGTCTCAGAAAAAGAAAAATACAAAAATCAGCTGGGCGTGGTGGCACCTAACTGTAGTCCAGCTACTTGAAAGACTGAGGCAGGAGAATCACCTGAGGCCAGGAAGTTGAGGCAGCAGTGAGCTGAGATTGAGCCACTGTACTCTAGCCTGAGCAATGGAATAAGAGCCTGTCTCCAAAAAAGAAAAAGATTTCAGCACTTCTGTGTACAATAGCAAGAAGCTAAAGTCTCAGGCCCCAGTGGCTAAGTTACAGAGAAGTTATATGCCATTCTAGATGAGTGACCCTTGGCACGTTATCTATCCCTGTAGCCTTTATTAACTACCTCTGAAATGGAAGCCAAATGTACTCTCATTTTACAAAGTAACTATCAGGAATACTTTTGATAGCAAAAGTTAATGTTTAGACAGTATCTGGTTGAAAGTAATTTGCTCAGTTTTTAACAATATTATCATTGTAGATTTTATCATGGATTGAAAGATAACCTTAATCGGAATGAATGTAAAATGGGTCCTTCTTTGTTGTATTCTTTCTGTAGATTATTTCTTCCTTTTCATATCCATTGTGAAATTGGAATTCATGTGAGTCAAACATGGTATTTACAAAGCATCAATGGTTACAATTACAGAATTACTTAATCAAACATTATTGTTTACTATTATAAAACCTGATCCCAAAATTTAGCAAGCATGTTTTGATACCCTACCGTGTTCCAGGGGCTATAAAGGGAGCCACAAATGCAAAGATGAGGAACTGACTGCAGCTCTCACAGCTCTTACTAATGAGAGAATAATCTCGAGACTGTTCAGAACACAGCTAACTCTGTGTTTACTCCAGGAGCTGATTTGAAAACTAGAAAGACAAGGTTCAAATGTGATGCTTCCCTTCAAAGCCATGTTTCTTTTTACTTGAAAAAAGGAAAATATACAACTATAGAACAGGAAATGAAAAATAATGAAACAATGAGAATGACGGAATAGATATAGAAGGCAGAAAATTGAAAGGTCTTGTTAGGTGAAAGGTTTATGGACTCTAGATGTCTGGAGAATGGATCCCGAGAGCAGGAGCAACCCCTACCTGCCAGTAATTGCTAGAGAAACACCAGTGGTGATCTCAGAAAAGTAGCTTTATCATTTCTTTGAGCATGTAGCTGGCATATGTCTCTCCAGGATTGAACAGTGAATAGAAACTTGCATTATAGAGAGTTGGCAGTGCTCTGGATGGGTATAACACACATAAGAGTGACAACTCCCAAAGGGGATCTGTGTCACCCAGGTAGACACCTGCTGTCCAGGCTCTTATGTGGACATGCCTCTCCCTCCAAACTGTGCAAAAGAATCTACTAGTTCTTTTCAACTCCCCTAGACAAAAACTGCTAAGGCAGGTGATGCTTTGTTAAAGAATCTTAATTTACACAAACTGCAATTATACTATTATACTTATATCTAAGTTCTAGTGGTCTCCAGTATTTGTGGAAGGGTCCACTAATTAACGAACCCATTTCCCATTTGTCCTGAGAATACTGGCTGGCGGTGCTTGCAGCTGTATTGTTTACCCTGAGATAACTGGTAGATTACAGTCCTAAACTTATCCTCAAATGCTTTTCAGAGAATGACATCAAAGTAGGACTGATACGGTTGGGACAGCTTGTTTGAACAGAAAGCTGAAAACAGATACCAAATGATCTGGAAAAAAAAAAATCTGTGAATGATCTCGGGGTAAATGCTGCAGCTGCATGTGCCACCTGCCTGTATTCTTGGGGCAAAGGGGAAATAGGTAAAAAAATTGCTTATAGTATTTTGCTTTTACATTTTATTTATTTTCTCTTATATCCTGGAAGAATTAATGTGTCATAACCTAGAGAATAAAGAGGTCAGCTGATATAGGGGTCAACTAATCTGATATACTCAGGGAGAAAATGTAGAAACACACCATCAAGCATAATCAGTTAGAGCTCCCTTAAAAATGCCTTGACTACATCTTTGGCCACCCTCATAATTTATGGAGTCAATATCATATATGTGGGCACTGTATCATCAGTAATTAAATAATTCAATCAAAACTAAATCAAAACTGACATCTTTACCTAATCATGTATCAGGTTTGCCTGGAGGCCAGCATGGCATCTTGGGCAGAAGACTAGAAGATTGTTGTAATCTGGAGACCTCCCACATGGGTCACTGAAAGCCATTATTTGTTTTCTCTCTTTCCCTAGCTGTAATAAACTTTTTTTTTTTTTTTTTTAATTTTCCAGGCAAGGCCTCACTCTGTAAGCTCAGACTACAATATAGTGGTACCATCATAGCTCACTTCAGCCTTGAACTCCTGGGCTCAAGCAATCCTCTTGCCTCAGCCTCCTGAGTGGCTGGGACTACAGGCAGGAACTACCACACCCTGCTAATTAAAAACTTTTCTTTTTTGGTCGGGGGTAGAGATTGGGTTTCACTATGTTGCCTGGGCTGGTCTTGAACTTCTGGCCTCAAGTGATCCTCTTGCCTCAGCCTCTCAAAGTGCTTGGATTACAGATGTGAGCCACCATGCCTAGCCCATAATAAAGTTGTTCTATTCTTAGAATCTTCTCTCATGATGGTAATTCCACCTTCATTTGTGTGTGTGTGTGTGTGTGTGTATGTGTGTGTGTGTGTTGAGATCTCAGCTCACTGCAACCTCTGACTCCTGGGTTTAAATGATTCTCCCACCTTAGCCTCCCAAGTAGTTGGGATTACAAGTGCATGCCACCACACCTGGCTAATATTTTTGTATTTTTAGTAAAGATGGGCTATCACCATGTTGGCCAGGCTGGTCTCAATCTCCTGGCCTCAAGTGATCCCAAAGTGCCAGGATTACAGATGTGAGCCACTGTGCATGGCCCAGATCTTTTTTTTTTTTTTTTTTTTTGCTTTGTTCATTGCATTATTCATACCAAAGTGGAAGTATCTCTGATAATTCTATCTTTACTACACTAGCTAATATAGGATCCTCCTAGCTACCTTTCCAGCTCACTTGTGTTAAGTTTCTTGATAGCATTTATCATATAAACACTATCTTATTTATTTATTTGTTGTCATGTTTACTGTTTTTATTTTTTTTCAACCCATGAAGGTGTCAAACACTTTATGGCCAAGTCCGTGTCTGCTTGTTGATCACTTATCTCCGGCACCTTGATCACTATATAGCACAATATAGACACTTAGTATTTGTAAATGAAGAGTCAGTAAATGTATTAAAAGACTCAGTGTGGTGGCTGATGCCTGCAATTCCAGCACTTTGGGAGGCTGAGGTGGGAGGACTGCTTGAGCCCAGGAGTTTGAGCCCAGCCTGGGCAACATAGGGAAAGTCCATCTCTACAAAAAATTAAAAAATTTTCTGGGTGTGTGGGGCACACCTGTAGTCTTAGCTACTTGGGAGGCTGAGGTAGGAGGATTGCTTGAGCCTAGGAGATTGAGGATGAACAGTGCTTATGCCACCACCACATTGCAGCCTGGGTGACAGAGTGAGACCTTGTCTCAAAACAAATAAACAAACAAAAAAAAGGGTAGTGTTCAGAGCTCTATAACTGATTATCAACTACCCTATAAAAGGATCAAGGTAAAACAATAATTGTGGATGATAAAATTATTAGAATAGCAGTGGTTAAAGACACAATTGACAAGGAAATTGGTTATATTTATGACATACCACAATTTAATATAATGATGATAATTAGTTCTGATAACATGTACTAAGACATTTCAGAATCACAGGAATCTCATAACATTTTGGAACACACATTAATAACACATTTATATAAATACAATCCAAAAATGTTAAACATCATTTCATATTTGATAATACTTCTTGTGTGATTTTATTATGCCAAGTGAGCCAAATATGCCTCTCTGGATTTCAGGGGAAGTAATGTCAAAAAAATTAGTGAGGGCAAAAACACTGAATTTAGAATTAGATTTTAGAAAGTTTGTCAAACATCAAAGTTTTAAAACATTTGATATCATAAAATAAGATCACAGGTCGTTGTAAAATAAGTCATTCATTTAGTCAAAATGGTAACTCAAAGATTTCAAAAACAGAAAGGCAAAAACTTTTACTCTTTGAGTCTTCTTTCCCAAACATGAGACCTAATAAAGACAGGAGGAAGTCAACTAAATCTGTTTCTCAAATCTTAAAGACAAATCTACTAAATTGTAATCATCTTGACCATAAGATATAATTTTTATAAACTTTTTCATAACCTTTCGTAATTTTTAAATAAAGAATGTCTTAATGCTCCAATAAAACATTGTTAATCTGACCCAGGGGCCCACATACTGGTCTTGCATTAGTGTTCCTTTGATACTAACGTTTCATTTATGGGCTGGCCTCAGTGATTTATGCCTGTAATCTCAGCACCTTGGGAGGCCTAGGTGCACGGATTTCTTGAGCTCAGGAGTTCGACACCAACCTGGGCAACATGTTAAAACCCCCGTCTCTACAAAAAAATCCAAAAGTTAGCCAGGCATGGTGGTGCACACCTGTAGTCCCAGCTACTTGGACGGTTGAGGTGGCAGTGTCACTTGAGTATGGGAGGCAGAGATTGCAGTGAGCCAGAATCACACCACTGCACTCCAGCCTGGGTCAGCTAGAACCTGTCTCAAAACAACAACAGCGACAATAACAA